TAATAAATAATAAATAAATAAATAAATAATAATAATAATAATAATAATAATAATAATAATAATAATAATAATAATAATAATAATAATAACAATAATAATAATAATAATGATAATAACAATAATAATAGTAGTAATAATAATAATATAGTTTTAATTTGACACTGAGAATAAGCAAGAGCGAAACTTTTCATAGAATAGCAGTCAATAAGACTAAGGAAACCAATTATGTCATAAATGTCACATTTGATCCTGCAATGTATCCTTTTTAAAAGTTACTAAAAACTACAGATTAATTTTTTTTATTATTTATAAAATAAATCAAAGGAAAGAATTCTCGCCGTATATTTTTGAGGCTTTTTTTAAATTTCATATTATAAATGAATTCGTAATTGAATTACACGAAAAAAATGGAAGGATTAATAAATATTTTAAAAATTTAAGAAAAAGATTTAAATATCAAATATTTAAAGTAAAAAAAACAAGAAAGAAAGAGGGAAGGGAAGGGAAGGGAAGGGAAGGCATATATATACATAATACTTAATCAGTCGCTTTTTTTTTTCATTTCATCGAAATGTTAACAAAGTTTTTCTTTTTCTTCTGAATGCACAACTGTTCTCTTTCAATTCTCTTTCCATCTTCTTTTATTCTTTTTTTTTTCCAGGCAACTGTTAGCTTCATTTCCCGTTTCAGCTAATTGATGCATGGTTATTTAATTAACAAAAAAAAAACAAACGTGGAAGAGAAATTGAAAACAACAAATGTGGAAGAAAAATTTATCCTGCAAACTGCAAATTGATATCGTTTAAAAATCTATTTCATATTTAGACAAATCTATTTTATGTTCACAAAGACAAAAAACATTACTAATTGTTTAAAAAAAAGTTTTTTTTAATTTAATGTAATTTTTGGCTCTTTTAGTAAATTTATTTCTTTTTTAAAATAACATACACAAAATAAAAATTTTGCGTGAAATAATATGCAAAGTAATATCTTTCCCGGTGAAAAAACGGATTTAAAGGGTAAAATGAGAAATGAAATAATGAAAATGTTTGAATGATTTGTGAATTCATTTGAAAAATTGATGGATTAAAAAAAATTGCTTGATTTGATTTGAATGAAAAATCGATTGATCGGAAATTGATTTAAAATTACATTGCAAGGAAAAAGCCGCTTTACTTTCCTTATATTATCTTTAAAATAATTCAAAATGTGTACATTGAATTATTTGGTAAATAGAATTCGAAAATTGAATTAATAGATAGTATCGAATTTGTATAAATCTTCATGGGTTATTTGGCTTTTTTCATGATTAAAAATAATCAATAATTAATTGGTAACAGTTTCTAGCAATATCAAATTTACTGTTAATTCAAACCGAACGATTGAAGTATTTCAAAAATTCTAATTTAGCATTTAAATAATCCCAAAATTAGCATTTGTTGACAAAACTTTATTTTTAATTGTTTAATATTTATTATCATGTTCATTGTTACTGTTTATTATCACATTAACAACAATCATTATTATCACTATCATCAGCTATTATTTTTTGTTTGACAATTCTTTTGTTGTTCGTTACATTTGTTTTTGTTATTGTTTTTTTCCCTTTTTTTTTCATCAATAATTAATAATCATGATAATAATTAGTGATAATAATGATAATTATTGTTATACAGATGGATGGTGATAATAAATATTAGTTAGTAGTATAGTAAGTACAAGCAACAATAAACAAAACGATGAATGATAGCTTTATTTTCCTTGTTAAATAAGTTTTTTTTTTTGAGCATTAAAGAAAAAAAGCGGAAAAATTCCATTAGCGGAATTAAATAAGATGTATGGACTAGTCGATACAATCGAATAATGTTATCTTTCTATTTATATTTTATGTTATATTTCTATTTTTTATTTCTTTTATATTTCTATTTTTTTTGAATTATTATATTTTTTTTCAATTTCTTTTTTATCAATATACTTTACAATTTTCGAATAATGTTATATTTCTATTTATATATATTTCTATTTATAAGTAAAGGATAGAAATAGATTTTAAAAAAAAAAAAAAACCAAAAATTGTAAAGTGGGAGAAAGAGAGGGAGAGAATGGAGAGAGAAAAGAGAGAAAGGAAGGCAGAGAGAGATTTTGAGTGCAATGTTGATTATTTCAAATTTATATTGATAAAAAAGAAATTGAAAAAAAATATAATAATTCAAAAATAATTTATTTAGCAAAACGAAAGAAAAAAATCTGAAAGCCGCCGTCAAATTCACAAATCAATTTCAAAATTTTCATATTTGAATATTTAAATTCAAAAATATCGAAATATGTAAAAATTGTAGTGTTTTTAAATTTAAATATTGAAATATGCTAGTCAGGATAAGAATATATTAATCAAAGATTAATTCCAAGTGATTAATTTTTTATAAAAAATGTGAAATTCGAAAAGTATCAGCAAATTTTACTGAAATTTTAAAAATATCAGGATGTAAAAAGTTGGGATGAGATTAGAAGAGCAGAAGAAAGGTGGGAAAAAATGATACTATCATTATTTTGTTTCGTTTCCTTTCTTTTTTTTGTAAAAATAACTCTAACAACAAATTATTTCGCATTAAATAGTGGCTAAAAAAGTTTTCCCCAATTTTCTGCATTATCCAACATGCAGCTTGCACTTTTAACATTGTTAGGATATGCTTATCTTCTCATATCATCATGCATTCCTCAATTTTCTGATATGTACTTCTATCAGGAACGCCTACCTGTTTGCTGTTTTCTTTTTTTTTTTCTCATCTCTTACATACATTAATACATTATTTTGAATTCAAAAAAGTGTGATGACAGAATTGTTGATGATTTATGATGCACTATAATTTCAGTTTTTTTATACTATTAAAAACAAAAATTAGAAATAGCTGTAAAAAAAGAAAAGAAAGAAATGCTAGTAGAAAAGACTTAAAATATAAGTATTCGAATTTCAAAAGTACATATTTGTTTATCAATCAAATGATAAGCTTAAATTTGAATTTAATATTTTAAAATTGTGCTAACCAAAAAAAGAGATGAAATAAAAATTGTAAAGATTTTTTTCTTGGGAAGTAATGATTAATAAAAAAAATGCATGTAGCATGCAAAAGTAATAATTTGTCATTAATTATTCAACAAATAGAAGATTTTCCAGAAGCCTATGGACAATTTTTCATTTCATATTCTGATAATATAATGTTACCTTATTACTGCTCCGACAATAATAATGATAACAATAAAAAACAGAAATCATGACAAAAATTGCGCTAGTGATAACAGTGATAACGATAACCCTAATGATATTAATAATAATAATAATAATAATAATAATAATAATAATAATAATAATAATAATAATAATAATAATAAT